CATTTAGACCATTTCACATGCCTGCATACTCAGCATATTTTTCATGGCATATAGTATCTCATGATGTTGACACATGTAGTTAATTCTAGCTTTGCTTTTAGCTTCTTACTGTGGTAGCGAAACTGTGCACATCTTATTCAAAATATAGAAATCTCTATTTTCTGGTCCCGGGTAATTCCCGAGATCTGGTTGGAGTGTGAAACCCTGGCCAAAGAATGACTCATCTTTAATCAGCATCTTGCTTGCCCAGCTGATGTCGGACATGCTGTTAAATCATGTCCTACTGTGCTCCTGTATCCCCAGGCCCCTCCTTGCTCTCTTAGAGGAGCCCTGAGGTCCCTTGTTTCTTTCCTCCTTCCATGATAAATTGTTGCCCTGGCAAGTAAGCTAAGGTGAGAATAAGCCTTCCAAAATTCTTTTAATCCAACTGGGACATAGTTTTCTCCCTCTCACCCCCAAATATGCATTGATTTGCCAGTTGTTTTGGGGGAAAGAAAAAGGAGACAATTGATTTTAGAAGATTGGAAAATCTTGCTCATAGGAGTCATAATTTATCTGGGAAGCTGAAAAATGAATATTATTTTAACTTATTTTGGTAAGAATCTACTCTGTTTGAAGATGTGACCTTCAAATTAAGAAAATCCAATATCATTTTTATTTTCTTCTTTAAACTTAACTATTTCCTTGATGTTTTATAATGAACATATATTATTTTTATATTCTGAAAAAGAGTTACTAAATTGTAGAAACCCAGTAAAACCTATGGAAAAGTATGTAAAACATCCAGAATCTCATTACCTAGAGATAATTGCTATTAGCATTTTACTGTATTTGCTTCCAGTTTTTTCAGTGCACATATAAAATATATTTGTAAGGCTTATATCTTAAAGAATAAACTCCAATACATGGGAATAAAAATTTATAAAATTCATATGAATCAGAGAGTGATTATATTCACATTCAAAGAGATTATCTAGGGTTTCGTCATTAAGCTCCCCTGTTATGCTTAGAGTGATTCAGTTCCTAAGAATCCATTTTACTCTTATTTTTCTTTTGTATCTCTTTTAGATAGTCTCTCTTGAACTTGAAGCAGGTGTATTACACGTTTGAACCAAGGCTGTTCTGTCAGAAATCCGTGTTTTTGTGGCGTTGTGCTTTGGGCACCAGAGGAGTGCTCACTGAACACACCTGTCAGCCACTTGTTGAAACTGCACATTGACCTCTGGCAAGCTGTGAGGAAATGTTTGTCATGATTTTAGACCCAAAAAAGACCTGGTCTGCTTGGATGACTAAATTCCTGAGGGAACTAAGTAAACATTGCGGAGCATCATACTAGTGTTGCTTGGTGAATAGCTGTTGTGAGGCCCATTTTTTTTTTTTTTTTTTTTTCAGTACCAGTTCAGTAGATCTCTTGGCTAAGTGTCATCTGACTCTCAGTTCTTATCAAATGTTTGTATTTGTGTTGCATTTCCTTGTAGTTTGATTTGTGATAACCTCTAGATAGTCCTGAGTGAAAATGTTCATTCTCCCTAATTCTTCCTCAAACAAATGTATCAACTCCCAGTTCCCCAATTACCTCCCTATTATTTCTTTGTAACAATTTTTAGTCTTTAGCTCACATTATTTTCTTTCTCCTAATTAATTACATTGAAAAATACAAAGTAAAAACATAGGTGAGAGAGGAATGGCAAAAAATACATAAATCTGTATGTGCATCCTTAGTGAAATGAGAATCCATGTGCATTCTTTTCACCCTTTGGATTATTAGCTATCTAATATGGAAGCAGCGTGTTTCTTAGGGTGGTTTGGTCTGTTTTTGCGAATCTGCTTATTTAATTAAAAAAATAATCAGTGATAGGTAATCCAGTTACATATTCACTTATGACACCCCCCCCATTGGTACAAAGCTAGTATTTTAAACTTGGTCACACCATTTTCTCTGTTTATATTTACAAGCAAAGTAACTCATGTGTGCTAATCTGATTTCCTTGCTGTATATATCATCTGACTATACAAATAAAAATAGCCCTTTTCTATTTATTGTTCTCTATTTAAAGTTAATGGGAATAAGTTTTTTTTTTGTTTTTGTTTTTTTTTTTTTTGTGAGGAAGATCAGCCCTGAGCTAACATCCATGCTAATCCTCCTCTTTTTGCTGAGGAAGACTGGCCCTGGGCTAACATGTGTGCCCATCTTCCTCCGTGTTATATGGGATGCTGCCACAGCATGGCCTGACAAGTGGTGCCTCGGTGCTCACCCAGGATCAGAACCTGGGCCGCCAGCAGCAGAGCGCGAGCACTTAACCACTACGCCACGGGGCTGGCCCCTGGGAATAAGTTTTAAATAATTTCTCTATTGAATGGCTGAAAACTTTTATTTGGAGGGGCTTTTTGCCAAATCTTTCACATGATGATGGGTGATTATTTAAAAAACACTGTTATCTAACTGCTAACTGTAAATCTTGAAGCACTTAGACGCTCCTAAACTAAATTATTAATTCTGATTGCTTTTCTCTTTAGAGTTTTGGGAGAATTTTCTGGTTGAGAACTGGTGGAGTTAGACAGACCTGGGTTTGAATCCTGGCTCTGCCATTTCCTGGCTCTGTGACTTTGGATAAACTAATCCATGTCTCTGTTCCCTTTTCTATAAAAAGTTGGTAGTGATAGTGCTGACTCTGTAGGGTTGTTGTGAGGAATAAATAAGATAAAATGTGCAGACTTCTGTATGCACAGTGCCTGGCACAAAGCAAACACTTAAATGTTAGCTTTTATTATTACAGACCAGGGGTTGGTAAACTTTTTCTGTAAAAGGCCAGATAGTAAATATTTGAGTCTCTGAGGACCATATAGTCTCTGTCACAATACTCAGCTCTGCCTCTACAGCATGAAAACGTCCATAGGCAATATGTGAACAGATGAGAATGGTGTGTTCTGATAAAACTATTTGTAAAAACAGCCATGGGCTACTGTTTGTTGACCCCTGTCCTAGAGTAATAAAGCTGACAAATGAAACAAGGTATGAAAATATTAAGAATTCAGTATAGCTCTTCTGTGAAATGGATTATCAAGAGAATTTTGGTTAATTAAAAACTTCAGTTTACAACCCCAGACATTACATTTCAAAATCTCAGTGTTGAAACATGTTCTCCTCAGTTAATATATTTTATTAATAAAAATCTCAGCTACCAGGAACCATCGAAAATAAACATTTCTAGATCCATACAAGCCCTGTAGTGGAAAGTATCCTAAAATATACTCTTCCTTCCCTTCCTAACAGCAGTGCATAAAAAATAATCTAACCATTTAAAAAATTAAAAACTTAATTTTAAGTTATATCTTATGATTTTGAGGGTGAGGAATTTGGGCAGAACTCAATTGGGTGATTCTTATGCTCCACGTGGGAGCAACTGGGTTCACTAGGTGCTTTTCACCTGGTGGATGGGCTGCTCTAGAAGGTCCGAGATGGCTTCTCTCACATGTCTGGTGCCTTGGTAGGGGCAGACGGAAGGCTGCGCTCAGCTGGGACTGTCCACCAGAGCTCTTACACATGGCCTTCCCAGTATGCTAACCATCTTTTAAAAATGATGTGATATTGTCATTATGAGTCTCATTTCCTGTAGTACTGTGATGCCCTCAGCTTTTCCTGAGGTACATGAGACTGTTACTTCCACTCCCCAGACCTTGTGCTTTCAGTCTATTTTTTTATTTTTTGCTTTATTAGGCGATTCTCAGCTGTGGTCTGGAGCAGTGCATTTGCTGGATAGGTGACACCTTACTATAGTGGGCACGTAATTTGCTACATGTAAGCTGCCTTGTAGGCACAACTAAATGCTATTTAAGGCACTTAAAATACACCTTAAAAAAGAAGGAAATCCTGGGGAGTGGGTGAAATAGGTGAAGGGGGTTAAAAGGTACAAACTTCCAGTTATAAAATAAGTCATGAGGATGTAGTGTACAACGTAGTGACTGTAGTTAATAATATTCTATTACATATTTGAAAGTTGCTAAGAGAGTGGGTCTTAAAAGTTCTCATTGCAAGAAAAAAAGTTTGTAACTATGTATGGTGACATGTTAATTAGACTTACTGTGATAATTTGCAATATATGAAAATATCGAATCGTTATGTAGTACATCTAAAACTAATATAATGTGTATATTATACCTCAATAAAAAATAAAGGAAATCCTGCAATATGTGACAACATGGGTAAACCTGAAGGACATGATGCTGAGTGAAATAAGCCAGTCACAGAAGGATAAATACTTCATGATTCCACTTATATGAGGAATCTAAAGTAGTCAGACTCATAGAAGCAGAGAGTATATAAAGGGTATATCTCATGTTAAATAACTTACTACAATTTAAAAAAATTATGACTTGGGAGCTAACACCATTTGAAAAAAAGAAAGGCTGTAAAAGATCAGAACTTAAAGTGTTTTTCTTCTGCTTATTTTACCTGCTTATTTCCCCCTTCCCATATTCTTGATAAGACAGTAAATGTCGGGAGAGCAGAGTGTGGGGGAAAGCTAGGGACTGGGAAGTGACAGGTTCAGTGTTAGCAGCCTTGACTTGAAGCTCTGTTTGCATAATAAGCATCCTAGTTTTGTTTAAATCGTGTTTATTTGAAGTAACTTATGTTGGGGAGGCTAAAGCTCCCCAAGTTATTCTTTGTACCACTGTGCGGGATTGGGGAGTTCATATGCACGCCCACCTTACCCCACCCCACCAGTTCTTGGAGTCTTTGGAATGGCCTCTTCACTTTACATATAGCTTCTTGCTGTTTCCCCCCTATCGCCTGTTGGCAGTTACGGCTGTAAGATGATATTTTTTAGTCTGGATGTCTTTGCATCATTTTTATGTATATATATTAAAGCTCTTTGACCCTTTACTATTGGTGGGGTAGTAGTACCTACCTCAAGGTGTTGTGAGAATGCTGTAAAGTGCTCAGAAAACATTAGCTATTATTGTTATCAGATAACCATCTTCCAAACTTTCTTTTTTAGAAACTGATTCAGCAGTACAGAAGGAACTTAGAAACCAGACACCTGCTCCATCTGCAGCTCAAACTTCCGCTCCGTCTAAGTACCACCGAAGTCGATCTGGGGGAGCCAGGGATGAGCGATATCGATCAGGTGAGAAGAAACTGGAAATTAGCCGCAGAATAGTTTTCACTGACTGTAGTATGAACTGTGTATCCTGAGAGCTTCCACTGTTTGTTTTGTTTTTTCCCTTGAAGCGCCAACAGGTCTATATTAATTCATTTATCAGTCATTTATTGAGTACCTATTATGTGCCAGGTGTAGTAGATTTTACTCAGTATTTGCTGGGGATACAGCAGCAAATAAGACGTTCCTGCCCTCAAGGGCAGACGGGGAGCCAGAGAAGTACAAAGGCAATGTGAATAGATAAATAAGAAAGCAGAGGGCTGGGATGGAGTAGGGTGGTCCTGGGAGAGCTCAGTGGACTCTGTTGGAAGAGGCAGGTCCTGCTGTGTTTGCCAGAGCTGTTGATTAGGCTCTTAACTGATGGGGCTGGAACAGAAACTCACAGTGAAATTTCAGATTAGTAAACTCTTAAACTTTGTTTCTTCTGATACAAAAGGTACCCATGGGAAGGGAAAAGGCAACATGCCGTGTCTGGTAGTGGGAGCCTGTCCAGTCCTCCGTGGCCAGGACTGATGAGCAGAGACACAAATCATAGACCCTCAGGAGGACGTGTGGCATAGTGGGCCTGCCCCCAGCCATCTGCTGTCCGTTGTGCTAACATAGTCTCTGCAGCGCATTTTTTGTTTTGAGAAGTAGCAGAAGTAAACCAGAAGACTAACTAGAGCGATAGTTTACTTTCTCCAGATCTTTGACTCTCTCGTACCGGCCAAGGTTGCCTTAACCTTTTCTTGAATTTAGAAGCAGGGTGTATACCATATCCTCTCAGAAACTGCTTTAGGAAAAACAAGGAAAAGGGCATGGTTGCAGAGCCACATCAGCCATTTGTGAGCTGATTGTATTAGGTGTATATTTTCACTCACTAGAAGGAAGGAATGAGAAGTGTTTGATCGAAAAAATAGAGATTGCATGCCACACCAAAATTTTCTCTCAAACCTAACTTGGTCTTGAGTGATCAGGGGAGGCTTTCTCGGAGAATAAGACATCTAAGCTGTGTCCTGGCAGACAGAGTTAGGGAAAGAGTATCAGATACTAGCCCTGACAGTAGTTCATTATGGCCAGAACGTAGAATGCAAGGGCCCAGAAAGAGGTGGGTGATGAGGCTAGAAAGAAGACCAGGGACCAAATCTTGAGGAATCTTGAACCACTGAAGGATTTTCAGCAGAGCAGTAGCAGATTTATATTTGTTCTAGTAGCTTGCTGCAGCTGCAGCCTGCCTGCCCTGCCACTGCTGTGTCCCAGTGCCTGGCACGGGGCCTAACATATATAAGAGCTAAATAGATATTGTGGAGAAAGGAAGGAATGAAAGCAGTGAGTAGTTAAGGAATGAATTAGACGGAGGCAAGGCTGGATGTAGACAAGCATGTCAGGAGCTCCTGTTTGTTTCCAGGACCCAAGCCTGATTTCCCAGACGCCCAGTGTTGCCTTTTGAGCCTGGGGCCCAGGTTCAGCAGCAGCCTGTTCTAACCAGCCCAGGAGGGTTTTAGCCTTTACAACTCTCATCTCTGGCCATCTGGGAGTTTTTTTTTTTTTTTTTCCTTTGTTTTTTTGTTTGTTTTTACAGCATATAAAAAAAGGAATAGTAAGGAACCAAAAAGATGAATCTCTGCATCCTGTGTCCAGGCTGATCACAGATAGAAGGCTTTAGTGAGCTCATTCAGTAGTGTAAAAGTTTGGCCTTCGCCTACTAAAACCCAACTGTGATCTCCAGCCCCTGTTCCTTTACACCAGTTCTTTCAGGTTTACCCCAAACATCAGAATGTGTAGTCTGTGAATCAGATACTGGAAGCAGACTGGAGTCTCTTGGTTAGGTGCAGGGTGTGGAAGAGAGTTTGATAGTTGGATTTGGGATATTTGTCTCAATGGGACTGTTTTTAGGGTGGTAGTGGGAACTAGGCCAGAGAGGAGGTAGAGTAGGAGGAAATGATTTAAAAAACCCTGGAGATCTTGGAGGCTGTGAGAGTACTGCAGGATCATGAGGGGAACGTGCAAGAGGAGGCATGCAAGCACGAATTTTGGGTGAAAATCACGTTTTTGAATACATTAGGAATTGCCCAACTAAATAGCAAAGGACAGCTCAGCACACTCTGAGAATTCTGGCTTTTCCTTGAATAAGAAGAAACCAACAGTAGCAGAAGTAGAGCAAATGAGTCGTAAAAATGGATGGGAGGTGAACTTCACCTCTTCGCCCCTCCGTTCATAAGAAGAGTTACATTTACAAGTCCTGTGCAAAAATAGCTTAAGAACGTAGGGTGTGTTTAGTGAAAATTATAAGCATTCAAAATAGAGTGATGGGTACAGAGAAAGGATTTAATATGAATGTCAGTGAGTGTAACTGGAAAATCCTCTCCTATTAACACCTACAACATTTCAACCAACCATAGTGAAATCAAAATAGACTTAGTGTTTCATGTTTCAGACATGGTGTAAAGAGCTTATATTTATTCAGAGTTTAGATCGTCTGACTTGATTCTGTTCTTTGTTCTTAGCCAAGAGGGTCTGACATTTCAAGTACACTTATTTAGTACCTCTTTTTTCTGCACATCAAGGCGTGATGCACCTTTCTATACATGTGTGTTATGGTCACAAATGTAGAGGGGGGAGGGAGGAGGGCGAAAGGGATAATTAGGCACATGTGTGTGGTGATGGATTGTAATTAGTATTTGGGTGGTGAACATGAGAACATGATGTAATCCATGCAGAAGTAGAAGTATAATGATGTACACCTGAAATTTATGCAATGTTATAAACCAATGTTACCGCAATAAACAAACAAAAAAAACAAATGTAGAAAATACACAATTAGTGCCTGAGATGGAAAGTGATCCAATTGTAGGTCATTCTGACAACTTTAATGTTAATATTTTGTGCAATTAAAAAAAAAAGGACTTTAAAGGAGTATTTGTATCACCTTACTCAGCTCAAACATTAGTGCTGGAAAGTAATTCCCAGCTTTCGTTTGCTTCTGGTAGAGATGTCCAGAGTCAGCCGTGTCTGGGGACTGAACTTGGGAAGTGATTTCTTTATCAAAGATCAAGGTGAGGGCCGGCCCTGTGGCTTGGTGGTTAAGTGCGCGCGCTGCGATGCTGGCGGCCCGGGTTCGGATCCCGGGTGCGCATCGAGGCACCACTTCTCCGTTCATCCTGAGGCCGAGTCCCACATACAGCAACTAGAAGGATGTGCAGCTACGACAAACAACTATCCACGGGGGCTTTGGGGGGAAAAAATAAAAAAATAAAAAAAAAAAAAAGATCAAGGTGAATTGTCTGCTGGTGAATGAGTCAAATCCAGTTAAGAGCGCTGCCTGTTTTATCAATAAGAGGCTTTCCTAATACAGTAACTGTGAACATCTCCTTTTGACACAAGGGTATGTGTCAGGGTTTATCGTGTTAGAAAATAGATGGGTGGTTTGATTTGTTCTGTGGTCTGATGCTATGAATCCTTGTGGCAGAGAAGAGCATCCTCTGTAATTATTAATGATCCAAATGTTATGGCCCTTCTAAAGCTTATTTAATGTGAATAATTCCCTCGTTTTAGCAAGTTTGCTGTCACGTTTTATATCTCATGCAAAAATATACTTTTGAAATGTAGATTTAATTAATAAGTGAGCATTTGATTTGCTCTTGTTCTGTTGAGAAAGTGCTTTTTATCAGCGTAAGCAGTTAATCATTTGTTTTGAGACAGCTAAAAACCATATTTCATCTAAGGATACTTTTCAATTTTAACATATCTAAAATCAGTATATGTTTTATATAAGATAGCATCATAGATTCAATTAAATACGACAATTGTGATTCAACTAAGTAAACCTCAGGACACTAAAATAGTATCAAATATAAATGCAGTATAAAATTATTTCTTTTCAGAGCCAAAGTGAGTTGGTACTGTGGTTTTAAAAGAGATCTCACAACAGTTTGGAAATATCTTTTAACTTTAAATAGTCATACACTTTGACCCAGAAATTTCACTTCTAGAAATTTATTTTATAAAAACACCTATATATGTGCACAAAAATATGTATACAAAGATGTTTGTTGTAGTATTGTTCACAATAATACAATGGTTAAGTAAGTTATAGTATGTCCACACAATGGAATTCTATGAAAGCTGATTTAAAATTCTATGAAGGCTTCTTTAAAAAAACTGAGATACATCTATTAGTGCAGATATGGAGAGATGTGCAAAATATATTTTTAAGTAATAAATGCAAGACAATATGTAGCATATGATCCAATTTTTGTAAATATTAGTAATAACAGTAATTACATATATTAGTATATACACAGACATAGAAACCTGGGAAAATATGTACCAAACTGTTGAGGTGGGATTATTTCTGGGAACTGATGGGTCTAGGGAAAATTTTCACTTCAGCATTGTATTTGTATAGATCTTTTTCCAGTATGTATATTAATTTTTTCCAGTTTTTTAAATTTTAAAGATTTTATTTATTTATTTTTTCCCCCCAAAGCCCCAGTAGATGGTTGTGTGTCATAGCTGCACAGCCTTCTAGTTGCTGTATGTGGGACGCGGCCTCAGCATGGCCGGAGAAGCAGCGCGTCGGTGCGAGCCCGGGATCCGAACCCGGGTCGCCAGCAGTGGAGCGCGCTCACCCAACCACCAAGCCACGGGGCCGGCCCTAAATTTTAAACAAAAAATGATGAAGATAATTTTTGAAATGATAGCCCTGGGTAAATGATTTAAAGCCTTAAATCAATTATTGTTCTTAATGATTTTCACTCTAAGTATGGACTCTTCTGACTTAATGCTAGGAGCTAAATGCAACAATAACTCCCTCTGAAACCCTAATTGAGAACTTTCTTGTCTCTGTCCAAATCCCATCTCTGATCTGGTGACATTTGCTAAGGTGACTGCCACTGGTACACCAGGACCATTTTATTTCTATATTAATACACTTTCTCGTCCCAAGAAAGGTAAATTGAGTTCAGCTCAGCAAGCATTTATTGTAG